CCCAGCTTGATATATATGTAGATGTATATAGACAAAGTAGTTGACTTATTTCCCCTTATTTCCATTTATGGCCACTATGGAAGTCATTGATGTAAATATAAGGAAGATTATTGAGAACGGGAGTACTTAAAAATTATTTTTGGTATTATTTTTCCGAAGAAAATTAAATTGTATATAGACGAAGTAGTTGACTTATCTCCCTTTATTTCCAGTTATGGAACATTGGTCACTATGGAAGTCATTGATGTAAATATAAGGAACATTATTGAGAACGGGAATACTTAAAAATTATTTTTGGTATTATTTTTCCGAAGATAATTTAATTTGATTGCTTCTTAGGTTGTGTACTAAAGATATATTACTAAATAAGATTTTCTTTTTATAATGCTATGACCATCAAAAATTCCAACTTTTTACAAGGTGCAATATTTTAACTAACATTAACTAACATTCCGATATAAAGGCCCTTAATTCTTACTCACTCCCCATAGTTTTCCCATTTAATTATACCCGCTATAACTCTGGAGAGCAACTATTCGCCATTGGCAAAAGGAACTCAAGCTCTTCGGTTGCTTGAAATAATTAAAATTTCATTTAAACCTGAGCAGATTATCTCCTTCAAAAAAGGAACGCTTACGAAAGCGGAGCTGGGCGGCCGAGAACAATGGGGTAAATATTGTTATTTTGCATTATTCAGGTAATTTACGAGCGCTCGCTTCCGGCAGGATCTCGAAAAGGACTTGCAGAAAGGACCCTGGCCGTAACTGAACGGTTAATGTAAATGACACAGGCCAGCAGGAGTTGCCCGCTGTAAGCAGATGAACAAAAGCGAGCGGGTCGACGGGTCGTATGAGTAATTTGAAGATGGCAAGCAATTAATTTCAGCCCGAGCTGAACTGAACTGAGCCGAAGTGATCTGCGCCTCGCTCCCCGGCCATTTAATAGTCCCATAAAACACGCAATGCCTGTATAAAGAACTCGCGATTCCATAGTCGACCATGACATACCTTTCAATGCATATCATTCTACGTTTCTGCAATAAAATCCTATGCAAAAAAGCACTTAAGGATCAATTTGATATTCCTATGATAAATTTATTAGGCATCCTTGTTCTTTATTTCAAAATTCCCTAAAAGAGAAAAAAGAGTGAGATAGCACCTTAAATTACTCTGGGTAAGAGCGAGAAAGCTATGTTCCAGATGACTTGAAATAGAACAAGTGACTCGACTAGCATATACCCTTTACTTAGTAAACAAATTTAACACAGTAACTAATGGTCAACAAATAACTAAATAAACATCCAAATCCCAGTTAATCTTTTAATTAAATCTTTTTAAATGTGGATCATAAGTTTAACGTGTGTAATTGGGTTCGGAAACGCTTCCTTTCATCTATTACATACTTATCTATTACTTATCATGTTAATAAATCATGATTAATTCATAACATAATCATCTTTAAAAAGTATGAAATGATATAAGCAAAAGCATTTATTTTAAAATATAATTAATTTATAATACACATTGTCGGTAGTACCTTTAACTTTAAAAAAACGTAACTTTAAAACGTAATTTGTTTTGTTTCAAATAATCACTCATTCGTATTCTTAAGTCGTAATAATACCAACAGACATAATGTGTGGAATATAAATTATTTTAGCTCTTGAAATTCCATTGTACAAAATAGATCAAATGAAAAAATACGCTCACACAATTGCAATGATTTCCCCCGTTCTTTTTACAGTTTAAATTATAATTTAAATAACACTACAGGATATTATCAGTGGGGGTCCATCACTCCAGGCCACTCAAAAGCTGCAGAGGAGCGCGTTAATGCGGAAAAACAATCGTAGGAAAATAAGGGAAAATCAGAAACAAAAAGTAAGCAGGGAAAATGCAAACAACTACTCCCACTGCCGGCCTTAAATTCCCGACTCGGCCACGCCCATCGATAGTCCATTAATTTATGTATAAATTGTATTTCAGTTTTTTGTTTGATTGCCCGCACAATGGTCAACAATGGAAATTTATTCGCAGCGTATAAATTCAATTGGCAAAAATTACAGGCATTTGGCCATTGAAATTTGTACACATGTTCGTACTTTAAATCGAACAATCAGCGAAAAAAGCATTATAATTGATGTATGAGCAAAAAGAAAAGGACTAAGTACAAAATAAATTATACAAATTGAATTGAAATAAATTAATGTTATTATGAATTTAAACCGCAGCAAATACAATATGGATTTTACAATGCTACCTCATTTGAATATTGGATTAGAGCCTAATGAGTATTGAGCCCACTGTCTGACTGGGGCTAAGTTTTATGGATTGTCTTCGGACAAACGACACCAAATAAATTGGTTTGAGGGGTGGTAACTGGTTTGAGAACGGGGACCCAATAGTGTTAACAGCATCAATAAATGTTTCACCCTCGTTTTCCCTTCTGTGAACTCCAGTCAATGCAGGCCATTTCAATTTCTTGTAATTTATGTTTAACTTTCTGACTCGTTTTTCCTCCATCCTCCAAACCCCCCTCCATTTCCAGTTGCTATTTCTGTCATCGTTCGTTGACCAGTTCCATTTGGTTGCCGCTCTTGGCCGAAACTAATTAACCGACTTGAAAAAGTAATTAAGTCATTTGTCTGCGAGCCCCAGACGATTTCCCATCCACCGCCATTTTCCCCGCTTTTCACTCGAGCTGATTGTGGTCCCAAAATAGGAAAATTACCAAAGGTACACGCAAGCACAACCTGAAAAGCTTAGTCAATCAAACCATCGATAACACGAAAAGCAAAAGAATCACTGCTGGTTGGGATAATAATTCAAAATTGGTACTGCCAGTTAAATAATACAATCATTTATAAGACATTGTAGCTATTTAATGTTTTTTTAACCATAATACGAAATAATAAAAAAGCAAACAGATATTATAATGATATTTTAGCCAGGAAAAAAGTATAAATAAAAGTTCGTAACTAACATAATTCATAATTTTACATTGATTCGTTTAATGTTTAAGCACAACCTGAAAAGCTTAGTCAATCAAACCATCGATAACACGAAAAGCAAAGGAATCATTGCTGGTTGGGATAATAATTCAAAATTGCTGCTGCCAGTTAAATAATACGATCATTTATAAGACATTGTAGCTTATTAATGTTTCTTTAACCATTATAAGAACGAATTTAAAAGCAATCTGATATTAAAATGAATGTTCATCTAGATTTTTATTTAAGGTATAAATATAAGTTCTTAACTAACATAATTCATAATTTTACATTGATTCGTTTAATGTTTAAGCACAACCTGAAAAGCTTAGTCAATCAAACCATCGATAACACTAAAAACAAAGGAATCATTGCTGGTTGGGATAATAAGTCAAAATTGCTGCTGCCAGTTAAATAATACAATCATTTATAAGACATTGGAGCTAGTAAGTGTTTTTTTTAACCATAATAAGAAATAATTTAAAATCAATCGGATATTAAAATGAATGTTCATCTAGACTTTTATTTCAGCCAGGAAATATGTATAAATATAAGTTCTTAACTAACATAATCAAACAATCAAACCATCGTTAACACGAAAAACAAAATAATCATTGTTGATTGGGATAATAATTCAAAATTGCTGCTGCCAGTTAAATAATACAATCATTTATAAGACATTGAAGCAAATTAATGTTTAAGAAATAATAAAAAAGCAAACAGATATTATAATGATATTTTAGCCAGGAAAGAAGTATAAATATAAGTTCTTAACTAACATAACTCATAATTTTCCATGGATTCGGTTAATCTTTTAGTAACATATTTCACAGCAAACCAAGTTCTCAAACCGCGACCTCATTAATTAAATTGCAATTGACTTGGGATCAAACTAATCAGCCTTAGTAGGAAATTTTCACTTGAAATTTATACGCCCCGTATCAATGTCACCGCCTTCTTGTTGTTGCTCCGTCACGTTTGGCACGGACTTTTCGTCAACAACAAAGAAAAATACTAAAATTTCCAGTTGGACAAAGTTAAAACTGGCGGAGGAAACTTTTCGGGTTCCGACGTGAGTCGGGGAAAGTGTGGAAGTAAAAGTGTTAAGTTCGTGCGCTTTTCCTTTTGGCACACTAATTGATCTCAACGGGCGGATTAGGAGAGCAAACTAAATTGATAGGTTTAAAACTGAAACTTTGATGTATGTGTATACTGAAATGCAAAAACAAACACGTAAGCCCAAGTTTGGTTGAGAGTTTTTGGTGTGGAAAATTGCCGACTTCATTCTTGTGTCTGTCTTAGGAAAAGTGGGGCTGGCGCTAGGGAATTTTCCACGCCCTTTTGTTGGGGCTAAATAGGCTAAGCATTTACCTGGATAAGTGGGCCAGAAGTTTGCTGGGTTCGTCAATTAAATGACTTCACTTGCCATGATTAACTTTTGCCCCAGGAAGTATGCATGAGTTTTTAATAGTTTCTAGTTTCCAGCCCTTCTGTTCATATACGTGATTTTCGTTATTCGATTTTAGAATAATTGAGGTAGAGCGTTCACCGAAATAAGCTGGCAAAAAGTTTATCTTATCCAGTAAATGTCACTTGTCTGGCTATTTTTTGCTCTTATAAGTAGGCTATGGTTTTTGATTTTCGCTTCCAAGGCCATTTAGGTATTATTTCATTATGAAGTAACGTAAGGATAATTCTTTCGTGTTGTGTTTTTGTATTTATATTTCATATCCTGACCTATTCAACTTATTAACATAGTTATTTAAAGCTTTTTTTATTGATAAAGGATAAATAATATCCGATTCAAGAACAGTTTTGGTAATTTTTTATTTAATATGTATAATATAATATAATATGTCGTTAAAAGGGTGTTTTAAAATACTAATAACAATGCCTTTACTTAAATTTTTCTAAAATCCAATTGATTGTCAAAAACTGTAGCACTGATTTTCATTTTAACTTAAACCTAAGTAGCCCTTGAGATTTCACTATTTCTGGCATTTAACACTTTGTCACTTTTTTATCATTGTGAATTTTTTCCCGTCCGACTTGGTTCGTTCTAAAAAAGGTTCCGCTCAAAAATATATTTTTTATTCCACGTTTTTAAGGAAGATAATATGGTCCGTGTCAAACAGACCCCCACTAAGTTGACCGGGAAAATAGCTCCCCGTAAGCAGCCTGCCACCAAGGCTTCCCGCAATTCGACTACCTACGGTTATGCAGTGGGAAAGACCTATCGTTATCGTCAGATCCATCGGTACCAAAAGTCGGCCGAGTTGTCCGTCAGCAGGCCGGCCTTTCAGCGACTGGTTTGGAAAATCGTTAAGGACATGTTTTTGGAGAACGATTTGCGTTTCCAAACGTCAGGCATTGAAGCCCTGCATGAAGCTTCCGAAGAAGTTCTAGTGACTCTTTTGGAAGACATGAAGTTGGCCCGCCGCATCTAAGCCGACCGTCCCATCACACCCTTCTGATTTGCGTTTTCTTGAGGGAAAGGAGCCTTTTTTGGTGACCGAAACGTCAGCATGCCGATGCGAAGAGCAACACCATACACAAAACAACAACACACTACATTAAGGTAATGATTTAAATATTTGTAATTTTTATTAGTTACTAACCATAACTGATATATACATTTATAAGGTCAACAACTCCAAAAAATGTCTGGCTGGCGGACCCCGAATTCAAGAGGTCCGTGGTGTTTGAGACGACTGCTCCTCCTTTTTCCTATTTTCCCTAAAAAGGGGAAGAGAGTCTTAGCTTGATCTTTCCAAATCTAAACCGACGCCTGCCCTTGAGTGAGCTTAAAAGTTTTCAAAACCAATAATAATAAAGCACAGCAATAACCAAAAAATTATATTTAAACAAAGTGGTAACCAAAAAATTAAGAATAAAACAAATAATACACAAAAAAGTAATAAAGTACAATAGAACAGTTGAGAGGTTACACTGTCACAACCAATGAATCTAACAAGATCAAAAATGCACGCTAAAAACTTTGCTAGACAATCAGTTTTATGGGCGTTACGCATATTTCATTATCTTTGGCTGCACTGCATCCACGAATTCATGCAGTTAAACCAGTTTAAAAACGGCAGGCAGTCTTCTTTTCTCTCCCTTAACCCTTTTTACTCCTTTGCTTAACCCGTCAGGATATTTTTTATGGTAGTAGGCAATAAAAATTGGGTCTGTTGATGAGGCTGATGAGGGTTGGACTAACTCAATCTCAGTTTAAATTTAAGCGCCGGCAATTATTAGCGCTGTCAAGCGAAGCAGGCGTCCCTTTTCATGCATCTTTCATACGCTTAGCGTGTTAATTATACAGAAATTCGGTCTATTAAAGTTTCAGCAGCCGCAGAGATACGAGTGCGTACTTTCCACCCAACTCAAACGTAATTAATGGAAGCGCACTTAAATCATTTTTGTGCGTGGGCCACGAAATCCCCATCAGCGCGAACAAAAAAAAAAATACAATTAGTTTACAAGCGAGCAAACGAGAGCCGAGGAATACCCAAAAATCCGGGCGCGCTAAAACGTTTCAATTTTTCATAAATATTCAAAAAGGTAACCAAAACCGGGATGTTTGGACCGGCCGTTGGTGGATAACAACAGCTGCCCCTGTTTTTGCGCATTTCTGTATTTCTTTTTTTTTTTTTTTTTTTGTTAATTTTGTTCCTTTTTTCCTGGAGGCTCACAAGGAGCCGGATTCCCCATTCAACGGTCAGCTCGGAGTTTCGGCTTCGTTATCGCCTTTGTATTTTTGTAGGTGTTGTTGTCGCCCCCACGAGTAACCTCACGCCCGCCCAGAACCCTCAACCCTCAACCCTCAACCCTCGCCCTTCACAGGACCCTCATCGCTGGGCCAGAGTGGACAACAAATAAGATATAAGGGCTGGCTGATTTATGAAGAACTTTCCATACTCTTACTGGTAAGTATTACCAGAATTTCGATTCAGAAAACTATAATTTAATGAATATAAAACTAATAATACCTAGAATATAATTTTGTTTATTATTAATAGGTTTATTAACCTTTTTAAAATATGTAATATAGTATTTATGCCGAAACCTTTAAATTTAAAATGTTACCGTATTCATTTCGTAAGGATAATATAAATGATAGTTCTTTATAAAAACTATAAATGTATTTTTTAAAGAAAATATTTAAGGCCCAGTAATTAACCATACTAAAAAAAAGTTATACAACAATGCCAACACAACACAGATTTAAAATACTATAAGAAAATGTAAGTTGATCAATCATAAAGAGCTAAAATCATATTAAAAATATTTTAATATATGGCTTATACATTTTTTGTTAATGCTTAAACCAGGACAAACACCTGCTGAAAGCAACGACTTACAGTACCGCACAAATTAAATTTAAATAGAACATGTCAACAAGGAACTTTAAGGAAGGGTATATGAATAAACAACCGACAACAGCAGCAGCAACAGCAGCCCAAGTACGCGAAAAAAAGAAGGAAAACTTTTTCGATTTAAGCAATTTTTATGCTTGCTGTGCTCACTGGGTAGCACTAGTACTAGGGATACATTCGACAACTTAAGTGGTACTATACCATTAATGAAAAATACCAAATCATAAAATATATTCCATTTCCAAGAATTTCTTCCACCAAACTTATTTCAAAAGTCAAGAATTTTTTGAATAAAAAATAGGAGTCCCATTTTATACTATTTATATTATTTTAAATGTAATATCATCACATTCTTAGAGTGCATTTTCATTTTGTTTAGCGGGATATGCAACTTTTCGACTACCTTGTATCAACTCTCTTCCTTTTTCGGCTATATGAGTCTGTATGTCCTTGTACATATATATGTGCTATATGCATATAGAATGGTATTTTTCAGGAGTAGAGGTCTAGGCTAAGGCGGCCAAAAGAGCGTCCGAAAATTAATGCAAATTTATATCGTGGAAAACTTTTCAATTTGTTTCTACTTTCTACTCTCCCTCGCCATCTCTCATTCCGTCCTTGTCATTTGTTGCAGCATCACCACACCCCCATTTCTCCCGCCCCCCGAAACGGTTTATATCAGTCTGGTAAGTATTTTGTATTTAACATGCACAATTTGGCCATTTTCGAGCCATAATTAACGTGCCGCCAATGCATATAGACCGGCGTCCAAGGACGAGGTCACCAGGGGGGAGTCCCCGGATGGGAGGATAAGCAGTTTGGAAGGACGAGCCAAAGGTGTCTAGCAGGTTGGGCATTCAACCATTACGGCCACCTTGAATTAGTCCGGAGGGGTCTGGGGTTTTCTTCGGGTGCTTGGACTATTAGCGGCCGTGTTGAGCACTGCAAGAAATGGATTAAGGTTAAAATATTATGTAGGTGTATCTTTCGGCACCATATTAAGGAACATTTTTTAATAATATTATTAACATATTAATTGGTGAACCCAAAATATGGTTGGGGGGGATATAAAAAACTGTTTTGGGTAGAAATATAAAATTTTGAATAAAAAACATATTACATATACTTTTTAAACCGATTCGGTGTGGAATCTATCCCATTTTTTATACATATACATTAAAAAAAAATAATATTTACCCAAAAAAAAATTGTTATTATTTTATTAGTGTTTAGATATCTTAATATTATTTTCTTTGATCAAGTATTGCTCACTATCAAAAAAATACAAATACATTTCTGAAATACATACAACAATTTTTTCTGTGTAAAGCATTTATATGTTGCACATAAAATTATTACATACCTTTGGTTTTATTATTTAAACTGCATTTTTATAAAATCAATTAAAAACTTTCAGTGCATTTAATAACGCCCATCATCCCATTGCCCCGAGATGCAAAGAAAGCGAACCTAACGATAAGTTGGCGTGGAGAATGGTAAACGGAGCCTCGGAGACGTAGACAGCCGGCCAAATGCCGCAATCAAGTTATTATTAAGTTTTTCTATTTATCCAACATAATTCATAATTTGTTTACAAAGCGTATAATAATATTAACGTCTTGTCCTGGCTTGGCGCCTTCTCCGGCCGGAGAAGTCCGAGCTTCCACTTGCCACTTGCCACTTGCCACTTGCCACTGGCCACCGCCACTAAGTCCGCTGTCAGCGCGGCAAGATAATCAGCTCCGAACTCGACGTGGACTTTCCTCATTTTATCTCCGGCTGGTCGGTGACTTCTTTTCATTTTAGTATAAAATACTTCCTTTTTTTTTGGTCTGCCAGCGTGGAAATCACATTAGGGAAAATATGAGGCTGGAAGGGGTGAGTTTTTTACGGAAAGTTACTTTAATGAGGCTAGAGATGGTTATTTTAAATGAGGAACAATTAGGCGTGCTATAAGGATTTCTTTTATTACTAGTATAATCTACCTTTATTTTTATTTATTATTATTATTATTCTAGACATTACATATAAGTTTTTTTTAATGTTTCCTATTTGTATGTCTAACAACGAACTAGCAATATTTTTTATGGGGCCGTATAAAAGTTTATCATATCGTGTATCGTCCATAAAAACAGTTCAAAACACTCACTTTCAACACTATTTTTTATTGGAACCTCAAAATATTTAACAACAATCTTTTTTGGATCTTACAATTTATGCGCCAGCAGAAAACCTTAAAAAACAACCTACAACTGCTCAATTTCATCGCCTTAAAATTGGTTTACGCTCCTTGAGAGGAATACAAAATATGCCTGATCATAGAGATCAGCTATCCGCTTATTTCCATCACTTGAGCACCATGTCCAGCTCTCCTCTCTAAGCAGGGACGAAGGGCCTACATTCCAGACCCACATAATCGCATTAGGCAAAGTGAACTGGCGACTAGAGGCATTCGGTAGATCTGTGTATCTGTATATACTTTTTTATTGGCCCACTTCCGGTGAAAGTTTTGTAACCACAGCCACGACCGTACTCAACTTGAGTCCTTCGCATTCTTTTTTTTTTAACTGAATTTTTTAAGGTTTTCGTACTTAAGTTCCTTTTTTTGCTCATGGTGTTGGGTCTAGGCCTGACACTTTTTGGGCCCAGCCAGAAGTGCACACGGTTGAGTGGTTGGGGCTGCAGACGTGCCGAAAATCGCTTTAAATCAAAATAAATAAAAAATACATGACTTGGTGCCCGGAAAATGCGCATCCGCGGAGGGGGGGGGGAGGGGGGGGGATGGGTTGCTGGGCGATGGAAAATTCCTCCCCCCGTTTATGCAAACGGGAATTAACTTAATTGAGTAGCGCGAACAGCACAAAGCGCGAGTAAGAGGTAGATGGAAAGCTCCAAACTTGGTTCTATGTCTATAAGACACTGGCAACAGAGAGATATATTCATTTGATTTTTAAATATTACAAATAACATATTATAAATCACATATAAAATACATTTTATAAATCACATATGAAGCAATTTTAATATATATTTGTATATATAGTCCTAAAAATAGATGAGCCTTTTCTTTAATTGATGGCTCCTATAACTTGCTACGAACGAACGAAACATATATAACCCTTTTCTTTAATGGGACATTTTCATTTATGTAGTTAGGACATGGGTTTTGAATAAAAACAATAAAAAAAATTTTTATTTTTATTTTGTTTTACCTTTTTTTTAGTTTTAGAAGGATGATTAAATTAAATGTTAACCAATTTGTTGCCCTTTCAAGATTAAATCTTTTTTAAAAATGTCTTTAATTAATATTCCTAATACACTTTTTTTAACATTTATGTAGATAGGTCATGGGGTTTGAATAAAAATAATACAGAAAATGTTTAAGTTTTAATTTTGTATTCCCTTTTTTTAGATGTATTGCCCTTTCAAACTTAAATCTATCCAAATAAGGCGAATAAAAAGTCTGTTTTAAATATTTTTGACATTTTTAACAGTGTCATTCAGCCATAATCAGTGGCTGAGG